CTAAGTGAAAGCTACAAATAGCTTTACACGTTACACCTAATGTGAATTTTTATATATGCAGGTATAGCAAGGTATCGGCGTTTTAAATTAATATACACTACAATGTCTGTTCAGTGATTGTGAATCTTGTACAAAAATAACATTTGCTTTCACATACTTTACTTAATTTTGTTGTCTACTGTTACTAATAATTTAGGCATCAGGCAAATGTGAAAGCCTAATTTATGTGTCAGGAAGAACTGAAACGTCCAGAAAAATTATGCATATTTTGCAATGTGTAAAGTGTTGCATGGTGTTTAATGTGTTTTGTTCTTTTTTTCAGGGGAGTCTGGTCTTGGTAAAAGTACACTGATAAACTCACTCTTCCTGACAGATATCTATAATGACAAGGAGTATCCAGGTCCATCACTGAGGATCAAGAAAACTGTCTCAGTAAGTAATATGACCCTCCATACCCAACTCACCACCAGATCACAGTTTGCAAACATATCCTGAAGTGAGTATCCAAGGCTCTGTCAGTTAATAAAGTTTATAATTTATTAAATCTGTCTTTATTGTCTGGGTTGTATTCACTGTGGATTCATTTTGGTTTCAATCCTGCAGGTATATTTGTTTCATATTCAATCAGGCAAATGACTGAGCCTTTAACCATGACAAATTTTAAGGGCCTTAAATTTGGTTAATAATAGTTAATGATACTAACCAGTTAAAGTGCTACAGTCGTCGCATCGCATGGTTTTGATATGGGTTCCATAGCTACGCGGCGACTGTAGCACTTTCATAACTTGGTATCAAATTAATCATTATTAGTGCTGTCACCTTTATTAACTGTCCAGGTTCTGGAATATTATAAACCAACTACAGGTTTTGGTTCAAAAAGGTTGGCAATAATTCTGTCATGTTGAAGAATTAGCACAAACTCTATTATTGCCATGCTATGTTGATCTGATCAGTGTTGTGTAATTACTTTCAACCAACTTTTGTCAGTCTGACTGATGTTGACACATTCATAAGCCTTAAACACACTACAGATACATCATGCTTTTCCTTCTATTTGAAGATGTGATAAATCTTTCATAAATTCCCTGTTTTCTGTGAAAAATTGCCGAGGAACTGAAAATTAATTCTGTGGTACTACACAAAGGGGACTTGCAAATTTCCCAAAATGTGGATTGAACTTTGGAATTCAGGATCAGGAACACAATCCCCACATTTTTTCAAAGAAGCGCAATCTGTCTTCATCCATCCATGATACCCTGTGGTCATAATATTCAACTTTGATGCTAGTTAGTACATGGCTGCTGGCCATGTGGAAGGTTGAAATTTATATTGCATATACCAGTAGTATGTAGTTATGACATACAGTGCTGGTGTTTTGTTTCGGAACATTTCTTTATGGCTATTCCCCATAGACGGGCAATTCTCGCCAAAATATAAACTGAGTACTGTTTAATTGGGCTATCAGAACACAGTTGAGGCTGCTTAGAAGAACTTGAAGCATGCTGGGAATAGGAGAGATCGGTGACCTCCTGGGGGTAACATAATGCAAAAAGTGCAATGATTCTTCCAATATGTGCTACCATGGTGGTATTTTGATGGTGTAGATGCGTGTTTATTTAGAAGTTTGTATTTTGTCAATGAGATTGGTTCAATCACCAGATTTAGAAATATCAAACAAATGGGGTTTTGATGTAATAGGAAATCTAAATGTAATAACTCCTTGGATCTCCCCGCTTCCCATTGCATTCTCTACTCACAGAATTTGAGAATTCACTGATAAGCGATATCATACAACAATGTTAATACCTAGTACATTAATTTTAAATCCTATTTCCGTAACAGTCCAATCCCAATCACATCAGTGCCTCGATCCATTTTCAAGCATAATAAAGACTCTCCCTCATTAGCTACTGGGCCCAGACAGCACGACTTATACTCTGACTTATACTCCGTTCATGCATTCCAGTTGAAATCTAGACTTGATATAAAATGGTAGTAAATCAGAGGTCAGTTTTACTTGCAACCTCAGTTCATGATCTGTAGAAATATTTTAATGACCACTTCCTGTTTCTTGATTGTTTTTTTCTTCAAGTATAAACAGTGGAATTACTTTTACTTTATTTACAAGCGAGTATTGTTCAGCAGGAAACTCCCCTACCATCTATCTTCCCCCTGTTTACACCAAGACTAAACAATGATGGTTTGCAATGGGAGGGACAGTTCCAATGCAGTTAATGGAATCGTAATGCGAAATTAGTCTAAATTGAACTGAAAACTTTACCCTGTTGCTTGTTCTTCTACTATACAACTTACTTTGTGGTGTAATACTTTATTCAGTTGAGGCTTTTTTTACAGTTAAAACATTTAATGGATAACTGAGGTTGGTTCCCTTCTAATAAAATCCAATAAATCTTTTACATGATCCTCGAGTGTCGTACATTCTATCACTTTCCAAGACACTATCACTATCATTTCCATATCATGTCTCTATTTTTGCCATGTTACTGTAAAACTATTTTATTTTTACCAACTCTTAATTTCCCTGTTTTGAATTTGCCAGTGAAACCGTGAGTTCTATTATCGTTTCTCATGTTCACGAAAATAGAGAAATTGAAACCCAGTTAATGCATTGACATTAAAGCGAGAGGGTCGACACCTGCGCACACGGAGAATTGAGCCCCAAGCGACGATAACAACATGCGCTAAAAAATGCAAAAGCTCATGGGTGGACGCTTCTTTGTAAACAATGACACGCTATGGCCATCTGACGCATGCGCAGGTGACGTCTCCCCCGCTTAAAACTGCTTTCAAAATGTCAATTACAACTGCTTGTTTCTTGTTATTTGGGGGGGGGGGGGTAACTAAAAAGTCTCATTGATGTTGAATATGTGCCTTATTCCAAAGATGTCAATATGTACGACCATCAGGATGATAAAGTGTTGTATTCCAATACAAGGCAATACAACTATTATTCTAATTTGACACTATTGTATCTTGTATAATATATAGGTATATTTGCATTGAAATCAGTAATACATGCATTGTGCATAGTAATTATACTCTGCATCTCTTTGCTTATGTCACCTGATGTCTCATCCAATCCATCAAATATATCCCCAAGCTCTGGGTTGCATCATGGATATGCAAACTACAAGTTCACAACACTTTCAGTTTACACTGTATTAAATCACTGTCCTGTAAGCATTACAGTCAAAATAAAATGGTTGGTTAATATTTTTAATAATTTAGCAACATGACAAAAGTACCAATACATTTATTTGATTATTAAACTTTATTAACCATTCATATTTCATGGACCTACATTTTTGTACACAACTTCATATGCATATGGGTTTTGTAAGATGAAACAGTCCAAATATTTAATTTGGTTGCTTATTAAATTATTGACTTTATTAGTCATCCTGGGTTATGATCCGGCATATTCTATGTTGATGTAATGATTCAGCACTCGATGCCAACTGATGATCCACCAGTTCCCCCCCCCCCCCCCCCATTAATATACACATGTGTGTCACCAACTTCAGATTGCCAAATCATATAAAATGAATACAGAGCACACTCAAACTCTCTGGAACATTAATCTAGCCTTTTAGGAGAAACTATCCATTGAGTGGAGATGAAAAATTCAAGGCAATTGCGTCAATGCCCTATCTGACTGTCTTAGTGCACCTAAATTTTCACCACACAGTTTCCATACGACCAAGATATTTTTAACATTATTTATCACACAAAAATGGGTAACTTCGCAGCAGTATAAGCTCTGATACTCCATGCTGTTTCTACGGTGTATATAATTTTAACAGTTCTGTATTTCATCAGGCAACATTCACATAACATTAAGAAATTTTACAAAGTATGTAACTGACTTTGAAATCTGAATGGTATTGTGCTCATTACAGATGAACATTTCACACTTGTCAAGGCTAGACTAATTAGTCTTTAATAACAAATTATTTATGCCCTTAAGCTTACAGAATCTGCCCTGAAGCATGTTTCAATGATATGATTTATGTTCTCTTATTAATAGGGGGAATTCTTCTGTCTAGACACAATCGCTGTCTACTTTTAGAATGAATTTGAATTAAGTAGCCTGATTTATTTCTATTGTTAGGATTCATTGTTTCAGTCGTGCATATTTCCTTGTAAATATGCTGTAAAATTTGGCTGCCAGGACTTTTTTCATGATTTACTTTCTCTTCATGAGAATAAAATTTTGCGGAAGATAATGCGACAATAGCCCCAGTGAAATTTTCACTTCTCCAAAATGTTTCCATTGCCACTTAACTTGATTCCTTACTTTTTTTTTTTTTTTTTTTTTTCTTTTTCTTTCAATACCCGAATTTTAGAGCCAAAAAGACAAAATTTGAGTCAATTTTCAGTTTTGACAAAAAAATTTTGCTGTTTTGTCCCAATCTTTTGAAGGAAAGTGCATACTATGATCTGGGCTATTTTGTGAATTTGCGATGAAAAGGTTAAACAAGGTGATCATTATTCTCAGAGTCAAAACAATCCTCCACTTTAAGTGCATATAACTAGCGAATGTTTATTTCCATTGGAATTAAAAATGGCTGCCACAAATGTGCACATGTTCTATGTAGTTTTAGCATCAATCTCTTCATTGATGATAATTGTGTCTGTACACTCAGCTGGCTTTTATTATATGATCCATGTCTAGAAAAGTGAATTACTGACCCTAGAAACAGTTGTTACCATGGTGTAAATAGCTGTTCATTGGATTGTGTATTCTAATTGTACTAGATTGAATGTTATTGAATATAATAAATTCAATTTAGAAATGATATGATAACCATGTGTTATAAAAATTATTCATCGGAGGAAACACTGCACAGTTGAAGAACTAGAATATTGTTAGTTGACTTAATATCAAAACAGTGATGGTTTTTCTTTTCATTGTGTTAAAAAAAAAAACCTAGTTTCTGATTCTCTAATTGCTCTCAAGTGTTTGAAAGTGCATCTGCAATAGATTCCATAGACAAAAAATTTTTTTAATTCTCTATTGAAAATGCACTATGAAACTTTGCACTGTTTTTTCATAATGAGCTCATACATGTACGTTTCCAATAGAGCATACACAGTAAAATCATGAATCTCAAATGGCATCTTCAACATAATTAAATTTACCATGATGCTTCTAATGCCACCAGCAACTCTTCCTGACTCAATTTTGCACAGTTTGTAAGTATTGATTGAGTACACACAGGTGTTGTGGAATTCATTCAATTTATACCAGGATCATTGTATCTGAAAACAAAACTTTGTTGGCATCGTGTGATGTGACTAAGTTAATTTCCTGTTTCTGTCAAAATGTCTATATCTATATCCATATACAGTTGTCTGTGACAAGATTGTATCCCATTATATTCTTTCTCCCTAATTGACACATGGCTTCCTTGTAACATAATTTATCTTCATTTTGAAAACTTTTGTGTTTCTGGCAACCAAACATAAAGCATTTTACCTTACATAGTACCATTAGATGTAATGGTGCTTTTAAGTCATTAAAATAATAATTTTATACGATCTAAAAATCACACATAAAAACAGTCATAATTCATTTGTCTTGATTGTCAGTATTGTAGGCTGCCTCAATTATAGAATGAAATGCTTGTTCATTAACTTAGGCATTCAATATCCCTGTAGACTTGTGTTCTTACCCAGCTACAGGATATAACAGACTTTGATGACAGTCATACCTTAACCTTAATAGTATAATGTCATTGTATGTAATTCCTCTGTCTGTCAGCCACAGACGTGCATGCATGTACCCTGGTATTATCCCTTCATGTGAAGTGAGGAAACCCATCAATTGTCAGCACATCAGTTGATTGCAGCTTTATTACTAGGCATGTTATGAAATTGAAAACCAATGTTTTGACCACTGTAATTAGGAAATATTTCACTTATTTTGCTCTACAATACACTAATGTAACCAGCTGATAGATAGATTCAGGTGCGAGACAAATCAATTGCAAATTTATCAGACAGATGGCAATAAGTACAACTCTCCCAGAAGTGTTTTATGCGAGTCAGAAAGGTCATTGACTCAAAGGACTGTAGAACGGGAAATATTCACTGGGTTCAATTAGAGTGGATGTTGCGAGGATATTCGCTGGTGTGTGAAGGAAATAAATTTAATACATTAAATTTGCAAATTCACTGCAAAAATAAAACACTGCTAATCATTATAAAGCCCTATACGTATTTTCACTTTGATCTTGCCACTTCTTTTGTTAAATGGACATTCCTGACTAGACACACCAGAATCTACATGTACAACCCATTCGCCAACAATACTCTCATCTGCACCTCTGAGAGTAATTGAAATGGCATCTTGATACAATACATGTAGCCTTGCTGAGTGATTGTTACGTTCCATGCCATCAGATACACTTTCATATTGACAGAAGGAGAAATCTTTTGTTGTGGACTGGTCAACTGTATTGGCATAGTGCATTGTTGGGTTAGTGTTATAAAGTACTGTACACAAATACACAGCCACAACTGTTTAAATACATCACTTATAATAACTGCAGAGTCTTGTATCACTTTTACTTAAAACTTGTGCTTAAAATTATCATCCTGCATTTGTTTAAGTATGGTACCTTGTTTGGTGTCTACAGTTTGGGAAGATTGGGGTCACAATTATGCCGATCATCCATATGCACGGTTTAGGTCAAAGTAAAATAAAAAAAAATTGATTGGAACTTTGTAAATATTGACAGGGTAAGTGCAAGGCGATGACATTGGTTGTGATATACTAGCACTTAGATAGAGTTGACTTTAGTACAGATGCAAGTGTATGCTGTTTGATATCAGTATAGCATCTGTAGATGACATCAAGGACAATCCTTTGTTTGACTTCTTGAATGATGGTCATTGCAATGTCTCTATCAGTCTATGGTTAGCGACTGAAAAATGCTTACAAAATTAATTATTAAATCCCCAGTTGATTATTAACAATGTAACCGTTGCTTAGTGGAAAATTTGAACATTTGTGTAAAAATTTCATTCAACCACAGACCTTATTTTCTTTACCAAAAAAATTAAAGCAATTTATGCATCTGTAATATACATCTACAATGTAA